AGAGAGAGAGAGAGAAGTTTCAGTGCAGATAAGACACTTCGGAGCGCGTTGAACTCATAACGCTCTTAATTAAGCGAGTTTTATTACTATAATTGTCGCGTAGGCAGAGCATGCATTCTTTAGAATGATGCAATTCTCGAGAACGATACCCCCACCCCTCCAAGATCTTCGAATTTATGAACATCTGACGCAATCGCGATCAATACTTCTGTGCGCGGAATAGCCTTTGGAAAAAGAGATATAATACATTTCTGATATACGAAACTGTGAGTAATGTAATTTCAAAAACAAAAACAGACGACTGACGTATCTGGCGCATCGACGGGATATCGAATGGCGACTCGATAGGATATCGAATATTCCGAAAACGAACGGAGCGCATGTGGCTCCTTCGGTACGTACAAAGAATTCGTAACGCGAATTAAAAAAAATATCATCAAACTTTGAATCAGCAAAAATATACGCAGAGAGCTTTTGTCGCGTACATGCGTTTCACAAGAGGCTGATGATAATTCAATTTAGCGAGTTACTTTGTTAGGAAAGCCGTCACGTTTCATCCAGGAAACTTAAAAATGCAACGTGCGCATGGAGGAAAAGTCTAGACATATTTCCCGAAATCATTTAAGACTTCCTCTCCCGCATTTTTCTTATGAAGTACATTACAGCGTGAGGATCAGAACAGGAAAATTTTACTGTGGATTATTAAGAGACATATGCTTGTAAAAAAAAAAAAGAAAAAAATGACAAAGAAAACGTATCTCGAAATTCACGGTAACCAGGAACACGACAATTTGTTTCGCCAAAGTTGCACGAGAAGTTCTGCTCTAACCCATGTTAAATGATTGCAATTAAAGTGCGAGATAGAAAGAGGATAAAGAAGAAAACGAAGAATAATTGGAAGAGAGCAGAAGGAAAGCAGTCGACCATCTATTTTCACAGAGTTGCAGAGATCGCGTTTATTCAATTTGTTTAATCATCCTCTCCTCCCTCCTCCAGTTGACCACAAAATATAAAAAGGTACAGTTGCTGGCAAATTTATCCCTACCTTAAAATATTTCTGAATACAGAGATTTTCTTCTACGATATACACTACATGTGGCACTCCTTTGCTCGCTGGATTCATCTTATTGAATTATTTTTGCAAATTCTCAATTTGCTATTTTTGACGATGTTTCAACCGTTTCGCGAGTATCTGTCATCTGCCTAAAAAAGAAAATTGATACTCAAACTGTCGATAAGATCTGTCTGTTGATCCGTGAAAATAAGTAATAATTCTATCGCGTAGATTCACGTTTACTTGAATCGCGAATAAGACGAACAAAATGCAGCAACGCGTTCGTAATTTCGCGTCCGTTGCTCGCGGAAGAACCTGTCCTGTCAACACATTTTATATCTCTCATTCCGTCCGCACGGGTTTCTCTCTGGTAATAGTTACAACATGATACTCCGTTAATCACGACGGTTTCTTCAAGCAGCGAATGACGCGAACGCTGATTCCTTCCCGTGCGAAAAACTACACTCTGTCGACATCGTCGTGGCAGTGTGACTAACGATAACGTATCTGCCATCATTATGTCAAAGTAATTCCACAGCCACAGCGGCCAATCTGTAGCAATTTACCGAGTGGAAACCGTAAACGGCACGATTTAATCTTAAATCTGAACCATTTTATGACAATCCGCCCGTCTTATGCAAATACGAAAATACTTTATGCTGTTTATACACATTTCGGTTAGCGTGCTGTCATGTTTATAATCGTATAAAGATTATTCGTATGATTAGATCAGATTATTCAAGCATAAAAGATAATATAAAATCAAATATATATTACTTTTAAAATAAACTAATTCTATAATTTTGTGGTGTGATCTTTAATATTCATAGGAAAAATATAACTACATTTTAGAAATAATAATTTGAATTTATATTTCTTCTTTCTCTTGTAAGTACTTTCTTATATAACATACATTTCATGAGACTACATGTAATATTTTGCTTATGATTAGATGATTATCGAGAAATATATTTCTGACGAGTTTGTGCCTGACGTAACTGATGAATCAGCAATAACCAATGACTCGTACAGAATAATAATGATTTAATTCCAAGTCACAAATAAAAAAGATTTTCTTATGAACATGCTATGCTTTTATATTCTTCCAATCAACAATAAAATCAAAACCAATAGCGCTTTCGAAAGTTTTCATATTTGCGTGAGTTGGAAATACCTTAAAAAGATTCCAAATTTAACACGGGAGAAGGATATTTTCGTGTGTTTCCTTGCGAGTACATCCTGATGAAAATATACAAGCGCAATGACATAAATAAATAATAAATTCAACTTCGCAAATCTCTCGTGTAATTTCTTATACTGAATATTTATTTATTACTGTTTAATGTAAAAAGAAATCTAATCTCGAATTTCCATCAGGTCTGAAAGACCTCCCCTTAGACAGTCACGAACGTGTTAAAATTAATCCTTTCGGTCTTGCGAACCGCTTAACTCACCTGGCACGAATCAAGAAACCGTCATAAAAACAACGCACGCACCGTCGTTAAGACTTCACAAAGGGAGAAATTCGCCTTACTAACTTGGCTACGGAGAACCGTGAATTAGAAAGGGTGCGATGGCGCCAGGCAAAGTTTGCTACATTGACCCCGCGCTTCGATTTCACTCTGGATTACGTATTCGCTTTGATCACACGCTCACACGTCCCGAATTGTAACCATTGTTATTATGGGAAGTCGTTTGTTTCAACTTCGCCGATTCACCTTATACGTCGGGCGTACAATCGTCTACGTAAATGGTTGAATAAATTTAGTCGTTGTTAATAACGCTAGTAGTCGAGCTTGTATGACATAAATGATTGAATATTTAATACGAAGGATGTTGCAAATAGCATATGGTTCAGAAAATTATTTTTCGTTTTGAAAGCGTTCCATCTGTGTCAAAGCTAACAGGACGGTAAAAAAAACTGAAATTAACGACGTTTATGAGAACGTTTATGAAAACATTTTTAAAATGTAAAATGTAGCTAAAGTTCTGTACTTTCTATAAATAAATAAATAAAAATTGTTAGAAAAAAATTCTTTAACGGAGGCTTTTAATCGAGTGAAGTTCTTAACTATCTTCTTTAGCTTTCTTTTTCAATAGCTCTCGTATCAACTTGTAAAAAATTCAGAAAGTACATAAAGTACGTTGCTTCCTCTAACTTATGTATTTGTATAGAAATAAGAAAAAAAGTATTATTGCGAGAACTTTGTCTATTAGAACAAGAGAATACGATCAAGAACATAAGGTACGATTGGAGAGGAAGAAACACCTTTTCGTTATAAAAATAGCTGCGAAATATATATCAATCCAAGTGATTCAGTATGAGAAACGATTGGAAAAATATAAGCACGGTGCTTATACTGCAAGCAGATGACCGACAACATACGTTGTCGAACATAGTTCAAAATTGTTCACCTTTCGCGATTGCTATTCGCCAAACATTGTCAAACATTGAATATCGAAATGATATAATCACTTTTATAACAGAGAAATTTCTATCGCAATGCTTAGCCAATCGTGCTTTGTTTGTTATGAACGCATATATCATAAAATATTATGTAGTAAAACGTGAAAATTGAAAGCGCACGGAGAGAAATATAAAGAGATACATGAAAGAATCGCATCTTTTCTTGAAGCCGTTTGTAAATAAATACGTTTTCAAATCGTATACGATAATACGACATAATAGAACAATAAAACAATTACACAGCTTGTCAGGCATAAAACTAAAAATCTACTGCACTCGTAAATTTTCGAGATATGATCGTTCGCGATTTATATCGCTATAATTCTCAGGGTTTGATGCCACAGACTGCCCGCGTCGTCGTAAATTTCGTAACGCAAACGCAATAGCTCATTTATCGCGTACTGCGTTAGCGCATCGCGAAAAGGTGAGACGACAGGCATTTCGTAATGTCATGCACGTTCACTGACGACGGCACGTGGGAACTGCGCGTCTCTCAAACACGAGCGCAAAGAGGAGCTAATTACACGGCGAGTTAAGTGCCGAGAGAGAGAGAGAGAGAGAGAGAGAGAGAGAGGAAGGGAGAGAAGGACAAGAAGAGAGAGAG